TCACACATTTCTGGTATTAATTCGTAGCCCTTCGTCAAGGGTCCAAGATTGTTTTCAACAACCCCCTACAGCTCTATCGCCTCGGTTAAATACATGCCATTAACTTCTTTTTAACCGTCCTTTCACAACTAAAAGTCATCGGATCTCTTTTCTTGGTAGTACAATTCACCTTTGATCTTATTTACGTCTAAAATGAGTCATTAACATAATCTTTATATTAACATGCAAAAGGCACAATTTTTGAAACAACGCAAGAGTGAAAATCAACAATTTTTAAGTTTGTATCACAAGTTTGAAATCAAACCAAAAGAGAAAATTGTAATTACCTTGTTGATTAGGCTACTGAAGACTCAATTTCTACTGTTCTTTTCTTCTTAAACTTCTAATATTCTCTTCTCTGTTCTTCTCCCGTACGAAAAGGGTGTGTGCGTGTGATAAGAGTTTTACATCGGAGTTTGCAAGTAAAGAAGAAAGAGAAATGAGGCCACCTATTTTATAGAAGAGTTGAGCAGGTGTATAATTAAACTTTGTTAACTTCTGTAGGCAGACTGGTGCATCCTTGTTGATATGTCCTCGTCCCCCCTTAATCGCTCAAAACATAAAAGTATATTGGATTTTTTTGGACTTTTGCCATGATTTTATATATTAACCAGTTTTATAGGTCATAATATTATATATAATCGATTTTATAAAGTCCAAGAACTTAGTTGTGCAAAAAAAATTGTCCAAAACTTAATCGATCAAAGTCGGAGAACAAACTCAAGAAATAAGTATATAAATTAATTTATGTTATAGCTAAAATATGTTAACAAGAAACATATACATGGATCATCACACTATGCTTTTTAATCAAATAAATAAAATCACACAAATATTATATTATCAATTTAATTCTCATTAAATATCAAGCAATATGCAACATGCAAAGCATATAGAAGAGGAGTTTCATTCTTTTATAAACCTAATAATTCGTATAAACGTACAAACCAATTTCAAGTGTTGTGTTTGAAAATACAGTATTTATATAGTGTTGTTTTGTATGTAAAACATTCAAGACCGATATATTTTTCATATACAAAACAATCCTGAACGTTTAGCATATGAAACATTGCATTTTCCCACGTATTGTTTCATATGTGAAACAACACATAAAAACTAGTTTGTAAGCTTGTGCAATTTATTAGGTTTGTAAATGATTATGCGTCTACAAGAGAACGTATTTGTATCTATATTTAATACGAGTAAATGCTAACTCATACAATAATATAAGATCCATACCAACCAGTTTACATCTAATTTCAATCTCAAAAACAATTTTAAAGAGACACTTAATAGAAATGTTGAGGGTCAAATTGATCTTGAACCCAAAATACATATGTAGCTTTAGTTAATTGGGAAAGCAAAAAGATAGATTGAACCACTATGATCATATCCGATCCATAACTAATCAATTTTCTTTTGTTTGTTCATACCAAAAATACCTGTACAAAAAATATCTATTCCAGCTGCAAAAAAATCCTCTTTACATCTACTTTTTGTTCAAAACAAGAGCTACATTGCGAAGCTCCTCGAATGCATGCATAGTGTCAGCATCAAATCCACCAGCAAACTGTAACGAAGTGGAAAAGATGTGTACAAAGTTAAGTGATATGTGTATCCGCGACTTCAGGAAACAAATACTCCCTCCAAAATAAATGTTTACAATGAAAAATAGAATCTAGGTTTGGATATGTGTAATTATCACTTTTTTTATTCAACTAAAATGACAATTTTACCCTTGATAATTTAGAGTAATGAATTTCTCAATCTCATACTTAAGGGTGGGCACTAACTTTTTGAAAAGTGACTTATTCTGGGACAGACTAAAATGTAAATGTAAGCACTTTTTTTTTGGGATGAATGGAGTACCACCAAATGTGCATTGATGACCCCCTTGTATCTTCACAAACAACATGTTCAATAACATAAACCAAAGTAATCCAGTATATTCTACTCGAAAGTACGGTCAAAGGATGGGATGTATGCAAACGTGCATCTATCCCAAAGGTTGAGCAGTTGTTTTCATGAAGACCCCCATATCCAATAACATGTAAACTACATATGATTTGTGTTAATATAGTCTAAGATATGCGATAAAGATGAGAAACCTGATGGATACGAAAAGCAAATCTGACTCCTTGAAGTAGCATATAGTCCATTGAAGAATCCTTCTCCGATGTTCCCTTCGTTTGGAGTTCTGTAGCAACTCTTCTCATGTACTTCTTTGCCAACTTAACTGATCCCAACTTAATCTGCAATGAGATCATGAATCATTCATTCATTCTTGAACATACACTAAAAAATGGCATACCGGCAATAATGCAAAATAGAGACAAGATTTATAAGGTTGATGTAAGCACTGTTTTTTTATCCTATCTGTTTAAGCTGTTTTACTTGTGGCTCCTGGTAATGTGAGGAAAGCTTGACTTGTGATAATGAATGGTATCTTATGATACGTAGTAGAGAAAAATATCTTGATGAGAGTGAATATTTCTCCAGAATCTTGAAGAAAAGAGAAAAAAATCTATGGTATGAGAGAAATCTAGATAGAAACTACGATTTGATGAGGGTGAATATCTTGAAGGATGAGTTCAAACATAGGTTGCCATAAATATATTGTAGTACTAATATCTTTTGAAAGAATCAGGGAACAACATCCTGATGGGATGTAACCTAGTTTATCATAAGGAACTCCACTTGGAGTATATATGAATTCACGGATACAGTTGTTCCACCCTTTGTGGCCTTGGAGTATATATGAATTCACGGATACAGTTGTTCCACCCTTTGTGGCAGAGGTCAGGCCTGCATACATCTCACCCCCATACCATAATTTCGAGTGGGATATACTGTTTCATTATTTTGGATGTAAAATTGTAAAGGTGTGCTCCAAATGCTATCATTTCATATAAGAGGTGAAGGGTGTGCTTAGGTTGTTCATGGACGGTTTCGGATTGTGAAGTTCATTGGCTTGAAACAAAGCTTACCTGATGACACTTGTAGAACTGTACCATGTACAGTAGCAGATATTCAGATTATTGTCTTATGGTCATAAATATGGAAGCTTTGAAGAGGTTTGAGATCGTGATGTATCTTATGCGGTAGATGAAATGCCTAACATCTCATGTATAGATAAAGAAACATGAAGCCTCCATGAATTTTTCTTGTGCTAGGTCACAATGATGTCAAGGTATCTCGGAATACATTTATGTAAATGGATGAAGGTGGAGTCTAGACCAGTGTCCATAATGAGGGGTTTGACAATCCATGATGCTTCCTCTAGAATTCGCCAAATGGACATTTACAAACTTGGTGGGAAGAAGAATAAAAAACCAAGAACATATGATGTGTAAGTAAGGATTTAGTTATTGTAAATATCTCGGAGAACATGGGCAAGCTCTGGAGCAACTAAGTTTACTACTACATGATTCAACAATCAACATATGCATAATGGAAATAGCCTTTTTGCATCACTTAGTTAAGTGATATGCCTATCCACAATCCTTAGAGAGCCAAGGAGCCTTGGTTCACCAGTAATCCATATTAGATATCTTGGAGGGTAAAGATGCAAGCATCAAGGATAGATATTTTTAGACATAAGACATGATTAAAAATCCTACAAGATGTCTCAAACCTAGAAAAATCCGCTAAGTGGGAACACATAAATAAGGGATAACCTCTCTAGTCTATGCAACATGAAGTCAAATAAAGAGTCTACATTTTAGCAAGTAGTACTCACAGGAGAATTGAATGTGCTAAAATATGTTTATTTTTCATCATCCAAGTTATATGTGCTTCTAAAGCAGAAAATTAGGTATTAAAGATCCCATTGGCATGTGAAGGGAGTACCGAGTACTACTCCATTCCGGAGAAAGGGAATACCGTCTCTATCACTTCCAATCGGCAATTTGTTCTTGGTGCACCTTAATGAAATTATTATATGACATGAACAAGCAGACTCAATAACAAAAAGGGTATGACGCCATCCTCTGAAGTGCCCCCACGACTCAACAATAAACTTTTATGCAATAAGAATCCATAAAGTAAGATTTGAAAGAAAATGACCAACCTTGTTCAATATTCCGGTATCAAGCATCCAATCTGTGGGAATATGGAACTCTTTGCAATTACGCATCAATAGATCTCTTGTTCGAAGAAGGTTATAAACAATACGCTCCATCCTAGCAGTGTACACCAGATAGTTTAAACAAACAGATTCTTAACTGTAACAAAAGAAGAAAAAATGGTTTAGAGATTGAGGTTGTTCTTACTTTTCAGATAAGGACACCATTTTTTTCAATGCCAAGTCACATGGTATGTGGAAATTGTCTTTGTAATCTGAAATTTCATTTTCCAGCTTCTTTAGATCTCGATATGCAAATGCGGCCTCTCTTAATGTGTCTGCTTTCTTCTCTGGCCAATCAAAGTGTTTAAGTACAGCCCTCTCATCCACCTTTTAACAAGCATAGCAGTAGAAAGCAATAGAAAGATAGCAATCAATAACACATTAAATAAATACATATAAGGTTTAAATTCTTGTTTCATTTAGTGATTAGAAACTTTTAACAAGTACTAGAACTCTACTGATATTCTTTTTTGTCTAAATGCTAAAAAAATCTGAGGAAATCTTGATTTTCTAAGGAAGAATGGTTCCATGATTTTGCAGAATTGACGCCTAATGATAAATTCAGATGATAAACTTACAAGAAAGCAGAGTTCATCATCCAGCCATTTCACAAAAGCAACCACATCTTCTATATCTGGATAAACAGCATTGTTGACCTCCCGGATTAAAGAATTCACAAATTCTCCTTGAGTCTCAACATCCTCCTTTATCTAAACATTAGAAAGGATATGAAAGAAAACAGCATTAACTCAGTCAATAAAGAGTGGTAACTAAATACTACTCCCTCTCCGTCCAAAAATAAACGTCCACAGTGAAAAAAGATTTTAGAAACGTACAAGTATTGCACTTTTTAAATAGCCAAATGACAATTTTTCCCTTAATAATAGAAGTAATGAATTTCTACATCTCATAACTAAGGGTAGAATCGGAAAGTAGACACTTACTTTTGAAAGTTGACACTTGTTTTGGGACGAAGTAAAATAGAAATGTGGATGCTTATTTTGGGAAGGAGAGTCTTAAAGAAATTCAGACAATTTTCTCCTCATCTAAAGCTAAAAAAGTTGAACAATCTAACATCATAAGCTTTAAGATTCAAATTTCCAACACCAGTTTAAAATGTTTTGACATAGATCAAGATAGAATGCACATAAGCAGACACTTACAGCAAGCAAATGTGATGACCGGTTTTCAATTTCACCAATCATACTATGTCGAACATTAGTGACATCCGAGGCATCACAGATCCCATCATTTAAAGAATCTTTCCGGGAATCCCTTTTCATAAGGGAATGATAAAACTCAACCACTTGTGGAGCTCGCTGAACAACCCCGCCAGCATTATTCCGGCCAATGAACTTCGGAGGAGGAGGAGGTGGTGGTGGCGGTGGTGGAGGAGGAGCTACTTGACAGCTGACCTCTTTATGCTCCTTAGAAGTAAAAATGGAGGGCCGCGGAGGGGGATTGGGAATACGCAGAGCCCTTTTTTCAACATCCAACAATGTTTTCAGTTTTGTAGCTTCACGCAATTGTGACCCTTGATTCAAATCATATTTTCGACATGCTACTGAATCTACCTCATCCATTTCCATTGAACATATAAAGCCATCAGATTGTCTTCTTTTGTTAACCACCAAATCTTCTTGACAGCAGTTTACACCACTGATCGAATGCCTTCTTCCGGGACTTCGGCCCTCTAACCAACTAAGGTTTAGTTTATAGTTTGGGGGTTCAGAGACATGCGTTTCTTCGTCTAAAACAGGCCACTTTTTCATATTCTTAATCAAACTTAACCTATTTTGACCACTGCCACGTTCAGAGCTTTCATCACTTGATACAGAACCATTGAGCCATTCAATGGAAGCTGGGCTTGATGTTATATCAGAAGTATCAAAAGCGGAATTCTGCAACTCGTTTTTAAGACAGGAATTGACCCACCTAAGATAGACAAGCTCCTCAACCTCATTCAGTCGACTTACTTGTAGATCTTCGACTTGTTTACACAAGTCTTCATTTGTTTGTCGTAACCTTGATGCCTCGGCTTTGATCTTCTCAACAAATTCATTCTGTCAATCATTCACCAAAATCAGATCGCCACAAAGCTACTACACCTCTTGCAAAGATACACTTATGAACATACAATTATATGACCAGGGGAAAACCTTGTTGTGGCAGCCATAACAATAATTGCAAAAGCAGCAAAAGCAGCAAAAGAACAAAGGTTAATTTGAATTGGTATGAGGCATTTAAGCTGGTTCATGCATTTAACATTTAATTTATTCAGTTTCACTGTGTTTATGATTTCTCTAGCTGTCATCATGCCAAAACAAGATTCTTCCCATGTAATACCACATATTTATATAACAAGTATCCATTAAAATTAAAAAGTAAGAAGTTAAAAGATGAGATTGAGACCTCAGAATCTTTTGCTAGGTCTGCTAGCTGTGACTCCATTGAAGAAATTCTGCAACAAAGATTTCTCTTTTGAAGATGAAGCTCTGCATTCAGCCGTCTCAATTTAAGAACATCTACCTCAACACTGTTAACAACACCCTTTGTTATATTTTCTTGCAACTGATGAGAGTTCAACTGCTCGGAAAGACTGGTGTTTTCAGATTCCAGCAAATCAATTTTGCTTTTAAGGGCATCAATTTCACTCGTCTTTGATTCAGCTGCACTTTGGAGCTCCAAAGCCTTGAGGTTTTTCCTCTTAAAGTCAGACAACTCAGCTTGCAACTTGGCTTCTCTGTCTTTAGATTCTTGGAGCAAGCTTCTGAGCTGATCAAGCTCCGCAAACAGATCACGAGACCCAGAAGAAGAAGACGATTTGTACAGCCTCTGGTTCTGGTCACAGTGATGATGATTCCCTTGAGGATGAACTTGTGTGGAAGTGACAGAACACGACAAATCCCCAATAAGAGACCGCTTCGCTCTATTACAAACAAAAGGGTTTTTGGAATTGGTTGTGGAAACGGTGATAACAGGTTGTAGCTGAGATTTCTTGGTTCCCTGTTGCGATCTGGCTTTCTTATCAGCTGAGAAACCTTTCACAATGTTAGAACCCCAGATAGACCTGGGCTTCAAATTCGATGATGCATTGTTGTTTTTACCCTTTAATGGCACCTGATTCTCATCGGAATACTTAGACGATGCTTTCAATCTGTTGTCTGAAGATGACTTGGCTTCTCCCATTTGAAAAAACTGAAACGAGCAATTCGTCGAACAGGTTCTATGCTTGTTGGAAAGCTCCGAAACTTCTAAAGATTGTTTGCAACGACGGATTCATTCAAAGATTAAATTTGGGTATTGGGATGTGTTTGGAGGAGCGTAGAAGGCGAGAAAAGGGGAAGGGTGTCTGACGATGGAAGAAGGCATTTGAATATTTGAAATTCGAATCCGTCTTTATGTGCAGCAGCACCAACTTTTTTTGAACGTAACGATCATATCCTGGGCAGTGGGTCCCACCTGATTTTGGTTGAGAGTTGCCGGACTTCTCTTCCTTCTCTTGTTACACAATCTTTTTTTTAAAATTAAATATTTAATAAAATAATATGTATTTTTAAGAATATAATAAAAATAATATTTCTGAAATTTTTAATTTTGGATTACTTTAAAGACAAATTTTGTTACAACAAAAACCTTGCCCAAAATCTTCAATTGAAACTTTTTTCGAAAATACTTCGAAATTTATCTCGATTTACAATATTTTAATTTTTATGATGTTAAAAGATTAAAGTTGTTGACTAAACTAACAAGAAAAAATTAAAATAGACAAATAAATGTATTACCTAAAAACGAATCATGACATGAAGTCTCTCGACCCTTAATATGGGTAGGGATTCTTCTTGAAACTGGATATGGTGCATGAGATAGGAAAGATATTCTATGTTTGACATGATATGAGACATGATAAAAATTTATTGCCCCATGTTTTGTGTAATATAGAACAAGAACTAGAATTGGGATAAGGTGAGACGGTATGAGATAAAAAATGTTTTTTTTTTCTTGTTCCATAGAGAGGGAATAAGAATGAGACGAAAACTAAAATATTACAAAAAAACTCTCGTTTGATATATAACTTTAATATGATATTTGTTTTAGTGGTCATCACCACTAGTTGCGATCGCCACTACCACCTGTAGCCACCTCCACATCCACCTTCTCCTCCTCTACAACAACCTTCTCCACCACCTCTATCAACCACCATCCATCGCCGCTCCACAACCATTGTTGGTCACCGACCACCACCGTCCATCGTCACCACTACTACCATTGTTGGCCACCTCCTCCTCTATTACAACAACATCCTCCACAACCACCATCGGCCACCGACCACCACCGTTTATCGCCCCCACCACAACCATTGTGGGCCACCTCACATCCACCATAATCACCATCACCATTGACTATCACTACCACTACCTATCACAACCACCACCTCCACTACATCGGCTATAACTACTTCATCCTTCACTGTCGACCACCACACCATTACTATTTACCATCTTCACGTCCTCCCAACCACCATTGGCCATCAACCACCACCGCTCATCGCCACCACCACCACCTAGTACTGTCGACCACCACCACCTCCACCTCTACCATAATCAACACCACCTTCACATCCACCATAACCACCACCACCATCGGTTACACCACCACTGCCTACCACCACCACTACCTTATCCACCACATCGGCTACTACTACCTCCTCCACCACGGTCGCCCGCCACCACCACCACTATCCACCATCTTTGTGTCCTTTATACCCACCATCGTTCATCAATCACCAATGTCTCTATCTCCACAACCATTGTTGTTGCAACGATCTTCACGGTGCCTTAGCATAATTTGTCCTTTGTATGAATCAAGTTTTTTTTCAATCTACCATCAGTTATATCAAAATTTTCATTCAAATTTGATACTATTATATATGTGTGTATTTATGTATATGAAAATTGAGTAAAAATGTTATAAATTAAATTATAACTTTATATGTGTTAATTATAACTATTATTGATTTATAAAATCATCAAATAACTTATGGGGACTGAAAGTGCCCGTTTATTAAGAATATTAAGAACACAAATAAAAACAAACAAAGTATGATCAGTCAAAAGTTTTGATCTGTTATTGAAGATGAAAGATGTAGAGCAATCTACTTACAATACTGAATGATTGAATGAATCATTATTGTAAGGAACAGTAAACCTATCTATATAAATAATAAAATAAACAATGAAATTGAATCATATAAACAAGGAAAGATAATCTCTATCAGTAATAACAAGAAACATCCTCTCGTTCAGAGTTAGAATAAATCTGAACTCAAGGTTTTCAAACTTCGTCTTCAAATTTGTACTCAATATCTCTTCGGGTCTTCTCTTGAAATAACTCTAAATAATGTCTCTTTAGACTTTGTACTTGTATGCCTTGAGAAACTATTGCCTGAATTTTGAAGTCTTCTAGTTCAAAGATCTGAAGATAAGTCTTTCAGACTTAGACTTAGTCGTGTGAGCAATCTTCAGTTCATATCTCTGGAAATTTGCAATTTAGATTTTTGAAGTCTTCTCTGCAGACTTCTATACTTAGCAAATTTAGAAACAATCTTCTTCATATCTTTCAATCTCCCTCTTTGCTTCAAATTTGAAAGTTTCTGTCTTTAAGGATGGGAATGAAACTCTTAATGATGATTCAGTGATATGAACGCACTAGTCACTAATCTTCAGTTTCAGTCTTCGACATTTGCTGAAGGTTCTTGGGTGTGAGTTTTGTATTCTTGAAATATAACTGTCACTGTAGGATTAATATATATGTTTCAGCGATCACTGAAAAGACTCAATGATGATCGCTGGAACAGAATAGACAGAAACATATACTTCGATGGGTAAAAGAGATTATCATCAAATCAATGAGAGAGATGATCAACAACTTACAATGTAAAACTTTTAGGAGGGACTGAGAGCTTAACATAATTACCTCTATGGGTTGTCAGAACCGATTGTTGATCCCCTCTCAGTGATTTGATGATAATCCCTTTTTACCTTATACGAAGTAATTATGTTTCTGTCTTTCAGTTCCAACGATCATCACTGAGTCTGTTCAGTGATCACTAAGAACATGTAATGTAAATCCATCAGCGACAACGATACTTCAAGAAAACAAAACTCACACCAAAGAACCTTCAGTGAAAGTCGAAGACTGAAACTGAAGATTAGAGACTGACGAGTTCATGATCTAAAGTGGTATTCAGTGATTACAACCTGGTCTACACATGTGTGAAGACTGCCCCAGCCTCAGCGAATGCTGAAGATACCTTCAGGTTATTCCAACGTTCAATGATTAAAAGAAGCTTGTTGAGCACGATTATTTTTGTCTTGTCCTTATACACACAAAGGATAAACCCATACCCTTTCTAGATCATAGTACGATACGGAGCCGATTAGTTGACTCTACTATCCACCAACTCCATTGAAAGGATGTCTGCTTATGAATAGGCTTTTGTACTATTCACTGTAGCAAAGAACAAGTCTTTCTCTAAAGGCTTGACACGTGTTCAAACCTAACGCATTGCATTAAATATGCATTTAATGTAATGGGTATAAATAGATGTGTTCTATCTCCATGCAGAGATACAACTAATACTTACTCTTGAACCCTAACTTATGTTCATAAGTAAAAGAACATACATCTAAGAACACAATATGCTTATCTTCAAAGGCAAGTTAGAATCCTTTTTTAGTATTCTAAATAGTTCTTACCCAGAAAGAACTTTCTTCTAAGTCTTACAGCAAATCATTTCTCTTTTCTAAGAACTAGTGTGTGACTTAGATTGTTTAGATATGTTATATTTACCTTATCTTTCCGCAAACAATCTTGTAAATCTGTGTTGATTCTTCTTTATCAATATATATTTTAAATTTGAAAACTTAACTGTGTTTGTATTCATCCCCCCTACAAACTGTTATACACATCTTGTAGACCCTAACGGGACCAACAAGTGGTATCAGAGCAGTGTATTTTCTATTCTTGTTGTTTAGTTGTTTTTCTGCATTATACTATCTTTTTCTCTAGATAATCTTACTGCTTTCAAATGGCTTTATAAAACACAAACACACACTTTCATGATAATGGCTCTCTTGCCAAACTACCTCGTTTTATCCGAGACAACTTTAGTCTTTGGAAAAATCGGATGTCCCTCTTTCTGGAAGGTGTGGATCCTGAAATTCCACACTATATAGAAAATGAACCATACGTTCCCATGCTATTTCTCCGGTTGTTCCTGAAACAGCTACTACTTCCGCGATTCCTGAACATGAGATTCCAAAGCTCCCTCATCAATGGAGCGATGAAGACAAGAAGAAGATAGATATAGACACTCGTGCTAGGTCTATAATAGCTATGTCTCTTTTTGATGAGGTTTATCATTCTGTTAAGAAACTCATAACCTCAAAAGCCATGTGGGACACTTTATGTGTTCAATATGAAGGAACCTCTCAGGTTCAAGAATCGAGGAAGATTAATTTAGTAAGACGATATGAAAGCTTTCTTTGTGGAAAGACTGAAACATTGTCTGAAGTACATCAACGTTTTAATTGTCTTCTTATAGATTTAAGGACTGTAGGCATGGAATATTCCAATTCTGAAACTTTAACTAAATTTCTAGAATGTTTGCCTGAATCTTAGGATACTTATGCCATGTGTCTCAAGATGTCCAATGACATGTCCTCTCTCTCTCTCTCTCTTAGCACTCTTTATGGGATACTGCTTAATCATGAGCATACTCGACAGCTGAAAAAGAATCTAATCAAGGATTCCAGAGAAATGAAGAGCTCTCCGTTAGCTCCAATATATGAAGATGCTTCAGCTGAAATCCCATCTTCTTCTTCTCTTCCTCCGGTTGTTATCATTGAGTTAGATTATACTAACTCTGAGGATTTATTAGAATCTGATCTTGCAGATTTTGATGAATCACTGGCGCTATTAACTAAATCTTTTAGGAGATTCGCCAAGAAAAGTAACTTCCGCAGATCTCCTTCGCTGACCATCAAGGAAAAGCCAAAGTTTGATAATATAGACAAGGCTTCAGCGATCTACTACAACTGTCACCGCAAGGGTCACTTTGCTGGTGAATGCAGGTTTAAGAAGGTTGTGAAGCCATCCTCTAAAACCTCATCCTTCTTCAGATCTAAGGATGACAAATACCTGAAGCTAAAGGAGATGTACAAGAAGATGATGAACTTCCAGCGAAAGGTCAAAGGTCTTGTTGCTGAAGAGCACGACTGGGACGATTCATCTGATGAATCATCATCTGATGAGGAATATACGACCTATCTCT